CGGCAGCCTCCTCACCCTCCTGGGCGGTTCCTGGGCAGGCGGATGGGCAACACGGGGTGGGTTTGCGCGCCCTCTCCTTGCTTTAAAAAGCATGTTTTAGCGTGTGGGTGTTTCCTGGCCTCCAGGTTTTCCACGGACTATTGGGTCGTTTGGAAGTGTGGTGCTGTGAGGGCATTCAGGTCTGCCCGAGTCCCGTAGTGACGGTGTTCTGCATCTTGCGCTTTTTCACGTGAGGAGAATCTTATGTTCGTATCTCCTGTGTGCTGCTTGTTCTCTCCTGCACAGCGTCACTTTCACTGTGTAAGTCTAGTGGTTAGTATTATGTTATTAATTAATATGTGAACGTTAAGTCAGGGAATACTGTTTAAAATTGGCTCAGAATGCAACTCCATAAACAAGTAAGTTGCACAAGCCATGAAGAAAATCAGTGTCCAGCCCAAAGTATGGGCTTCTCCCAAATGTACTATGAAGCTCTCTGTAAGTGTGTATTCATCTATATGTTATTAGGTATAACAGCAGCAGCATGACAGGAATTGTGTTGATGTCTCAGACTTATAGAAACAACCTATAGGATTTAAATTTAATTGTACACTTAACTGGAGGGGGTATTTTTGTGTCTGGTTTTACTTATAACTGTCTGTGTGGTAATCACAGTTATTAGCAATATGGTTTGAATTTTCTAAGGTTATGTTTCCCTCTACTTAACTGCCAAAGAAGAGGTAATGGTGTGACAGTTCCTGGTGGTATCTTCCTAACCTTCTGGACAGGTTAACCCTAAAAATTCTTTCCTGTTAAATTTTCTTTTTCCTCTTGCTAGGCCTCAAACTATTCTGAGTTAAACTAGCTGGGTGATGGGGGCTTACTGCTAGGAAACAATTCTGTGGAGCCTGCACAGCTGTGTGTGAAATTAAAATTGCAGTTAGGATGGCAATTCCGATATGTGAATAGGCCTAGGATTTGGGTAGATTTATAGTGTTGTTATTGCTCATCACTTCGTTAGGAACTTACCTGATGGCAGTTCATATCTTTGGGATACAAGAGTCTCAAAGGTGATTTCCTAAACTCAAGAAGGTAAACTCTTGTCTGTATTGCTGTTATGCCAAAACACCCGTTTTGTCTTTTTCTGTCTTCTGATTTTTACTTTGCTGTGTAATTCAACAGGCATTGCACAACTTGAAAAATAGTATGTGCTACTCCCTAAAGCTTTTACTGCCTCCTGAGTCTTCTTTCAGACAATGCTTTAGTGTATTATCTGAGTGGCTACTGGGCGTTTACAGCCATGAAGGGAATGACTTTGGTTAGAGTGATACAGAGGGTTGTTATACTACAGCACTTCAGCTACAGTGGTTATTCTAGATAACTTCTGATATCACTATCCAAATATTTAAATGTCCAAATGATGTATCACAGAAAATGCATACTTCTTGCTTCACCTAGAGAAGAAAATGTGCTGCAGGTACCAGAAAATTGGTTCTAAGACACCTACCCAACAAGATTCAGGCAGCTAGCTGTACAAAATATGAGAGGAATAAGATTTCTGCCTTTTCAGTATATGACATGTTTGTTTGATGGGCAGGGAGAGCACAAATAAGTTCTGCTTGTGAGACAAGGCAGAAAACCTCTTTGCTCAGTGATGAATGGATACTTATATTATAATTGATCATAGAGTTATTCAATTGTTTGGCTTGGAAGAGGCCTTAAAGATCATCTAGTTCCAATCCCCCTGCTCTTGGGCAGGGAGACTAGATTGTACAGATAGATGTATATACATGTATTAATTTTGTGGAGGCTCTCATGCGTTTTGAAAGAACTAATTTTATTTTTTTTTTTCAATAAAGTACTGCTGGTTCTGCTCCCTGGGTGGTTATTTTTATGTAACCCCAGTAACTCCAGCCAGTTTACCTGAAAAATCAAATTTTAGTGAGTTGTGTACCCAAATTCTTCTAAACATTTCACTTTAGCGATGCTAATCTTGATCTCAAGCTTAGCTTATAGTAGTTTATCACTGAAGCAAACATGTGCTTTTAATTTGGTGTTTTGTGATGAACCTTATTAAAATGATCACTCGAGTTAGTGCTTCCCTGCTGCTCAGAGTTGAAGTGCCCTCTCTGCAGCATTCTGTGCAAATGAATTCTTTCTGTGGTAAGCAGCCTGCTCAGGATGATTTCTGTAACAGGTTTGCTGTCAGTCCTTTCTATCAACTGTGCAACAACTCATACTCTTTCAGAACTACCCCATCAGTGTGAGTGGGGTTTTAATAAGCACCTGAATGTTTTGTTTTCAGAAGTCTGAAGTTAGTTCTGACTGCCTTAGTCATAGAACTGTTATTGGTGAGCTTTTTTGCAGCTGTAACTTGGCTTACCTCTTCTATTTTCCAGCTGTTGAAGAGAGACACAAGACCTAGTCATGGCTGACAACAGTACCCTGGTGTCTGAAACCGGGAGGAGCCTCTTGGCTGATTCTTCAGTCCTTGATTCAAAAATTACAGAAACTTCCAAAGAAAATCTATTTCCTGGATCTGTTTTGGATGTTGAAGGTAATGGACCAAGCTTATTTTAAGACTCCTATGTTTTTATAATGACTGATTACTTCGTAGGTCTTCGGTAGTTTTGAAAACCCCAAAGTGTGTTGCTGAAGTACAGAGTTGTGTGTAGGGTACTCAAAAGGGTGTTGGTTTGGTAGCCTTTTACCAACAAAGGCACTGTCTTAATTTCAAACTCATCTTGCTCTAAAAATTTGGGCTTACAGCTATGAAATAGAATGAGTCTTCTGGCTGATGTATAGAATGCTTTTGGTTCCCTTTGTTGTCTATTCTGTGGAATAAATCATTCCAGGTGATATTTTGACACTAGTTTTTGGAAACTACGGCTACTCTGTTGTATACAGGTGGACCTTAGAGAGATGAATAGTATCGAGCTTGAAATTAAATCTTGGACTTAAAAAACGACACTAAAGATATTTTTGTTTTTCTGCAATGCAGTAGCCAAAATCCAGTGGCAGTCTTTTGGTGCAAATGACAGAAGCAACACTTGTCCCTTCCTCCTAATATTCTGAAAGCTTGTTAATACATGGTGAAAAAGAACAAGACATTTTACTTCAGTTTTGGTATTCCTTGGTGAAACTGAGAAGTTGCTAGGAAGTAATGAGCCTTGTCAGCTAGGAACACAGAAACTAGAAAAGCTACCAGCTGTCTGTTTTCAAGTGAGTCTTGGTGTCTAATACTGCTAGAAGTGTTAAGTCAGTAATTTTGTGGTGTGGTTTTGTTTTTTGTGCAGTTTTTTTGTTGTCATTTGCCCTTGCTGACTCTTGCCTGTTGTAGCTTTGACTGTAAAGTAACCGGTCATGAATTGCAGGATCTTGTTTCAGGATACACCAGGAAGTTTAGGCTCTATGGTCAATTGGATATGCTTCAATTAAAGAACAGGCTTATTGCAGTGAAAATTTATGTTCAGGCTCATTCCTGAAAAACAAGGTGTCTTGAAAGGATGCCACCTGCCTGTATTCTTCTATAGGTTATTGCTTGATTTAGACTTAACATGGAGTTTTCTGTTAACATATGGATATTACCCTTTTCTCTATAAACAGAAGAAATGTCTCAAATAGAAACAAGAGTGGTTTTGGTTCAGGAAGCAGGGAAACGTGAGGAGCTTCTGAAGGCCTTGGAGGTACGTGGGTCTAAAAAACCAGTCACTGGAGTGAGGTGGTGTGCTCTTAGACTCCTGCTGATAAATTTGGTTGTACAGTGGTTCTGTACTGAATTTCTACTCTTCCACAGACTATTAAGATAATGGAAGTACCAGTTATAAAGATAAAGGAAACTAGTCCTGATAAATCAGAAGAAAAACTAATAAAAAGTATTATTCATATGGTATGTGATGCAATTAAGCACGTGTTGCATGCAGCATGTTTTACTTCACTGGGACTGAAATGTACACACGCTTTAATTTGTGTTAGTTGGGCATAGTGGTCACTGTATGTGCTAATGTTTCTGATGGTGTCAGTTAAAACTCATTAAAATTGGCACTTTTTTACAAATGCCTTCTCCACTATGGAAGTAATAACTGCAGCTCTTAACTAGTGGTCTTTTCTAACACGGGATAGAAATATTGATGGAGACATTCAACTGCATGCTTGTATTCAGTTAAGGCATGAGTTTTTTGCTATGAACTGACTTTATAATTGGTTAGTTGACTTCTCTTTCAATTGAAAGTGTAAGAATTGATTCCCCATTTGTTGATGTAAAAAAACCTAGAAAATAGAACTTGGAACTAATGATTGAAATTGGAACAGACCAAATTTTTAGAGCCCTCAAAAATATCAAGCAATGAACAAAAGTGACTTCTGTTCTTTAAATCTTATGCAGCATGAAGCTTGCTGTTTCAAGTACCATCCAGACTTTTTTGTCTGTTCTGTACTTTTTAGTACCATCCAGAAGTACCTTAAGCTGTCCTGACAATCTGAAATTTCATTTCTCTTTTGTGCTTCGATTGGTTGTTTTTCTATCTGTAGATCTATCCAGTACTATATTATCGGTGTGAACTGATACGTAAACTGCTACAGTAACTAGAATCCTTCTTCTTCAGAAGCAGGAATTGCTTTAAGGCTTTTTTTTAGGTGCAGTTCATGGCTATTCTTATGCTAATGAACAGTGCATTTAATTCAGTTTCACAAATCTTAAGAGTTGAAATTTGCACCGTCCATTTTTCTTATCATCCAAAATAAAAATCTGTGGAGTATGTTTGCTGAATAGTTTCAAAACTCTAATGCTTTTCCCCTTTGTCCCCATACATCAAGGAAATTAAAATACCCTACATAAAGATAGAGATGATAGAAGAACTTGGCGATTCTGATTCCCTGGAATTTGAGACTATCTTTGTTGTATCAGACTTCCAAGAGTCGATCTTTAAGAAGCTTTGCAAAGCTGATTGCCGTGTCATTGGGCCTCCAGTGGTACTGCACTGTGCACAAAAAGGAGAGGTATGTGCTTTCTGCTCAAATTAGCTGAGTGGTTCATTGGTGCAATGAGTTCTAAATATTAAGTGTTCAGAATAAAACATATTTTGCCAATCAGTTGTAAAAATCCTTAGCAAGAGAATTCTAAGAAAAGCAAGTTTCTGATATTTTGTTGGAATAGTGCCTGTAGTGAGAAAGCACACCCAGACAGCATTAAGGCTATGACTCCAGTAGGTGTAGGAGTTGTTGACCCACTACTTGGGATTGTGCCATTAGGAAAGGCAGCATATGAAGGACGCTCCAGCAGATACTTTGTATTTTTGCAGATTGTCACACAGGAGGGATGGACTGGGGAGGGGAAGAATGGATAGAGTACTACCTGTGAAACTTGGGGATGCTCTAGGTACTTTATCAGAATGCTGGCAACCCTGCAGTGGAGGTATGGCTGAATACACAGACCTGGACTACTGTCTGATGCATTTTAATACTAGGAACAATAGTACTGTATGAAAGAAAATGGTATTAAAGAGAATGTTAAAATGTTAATGGAAGCAGTATGCCTTTGACTAATAAGCTCACTTCTTACTTTCAGCCTTTACCTTTCTCCTGTCGTCCACTGTACTGTGCAGCTATGCTGAACTTGGTGCTGTGCTTTACAGGATTCAGAAAGAAAGATGAATTGGTAAGACTTTTTCCTTTGGATTGTTAAAACTATGTTAAGCTTATTTTCAAAATACTCTTCTGTTCTATAGCCCATAGGTTTATAACCCTGTCCTTGATTTGTCTGGAGGCAGTGATGCTTGAGGATGAGAACAAAACTGTTTTTTTGTCCAAGTCTTTTTGTCTGTGCCATTTTTAGTCACTTTTTTTGTTGAGTGATGTTAAACGGTATTAATTCAGTAAGGCTTAAAGATTTGTAGATTGAGGCATCAGATAGAAGGGCACTATTGGATAAACAATTTTATTTGTACAGGTAGCAGCAAGGTCAAGTAAAGCTCTGCAGTCATGTTCAGAGCATCTACAGATGTGTTATCTTGCTGCCATGCACTCAAGCCTAGTCTTAACATATCTAGGTACACAGTGGTTTGGTACACTAGCACTTTGCTTTTCCATGTCAGTAATGCAGTTGGCACCTAGTTTCCTTGTGGGACACCTGGGAATCAACAATGTGACTCCACATATTCATCTGGAAAAAACCCTCAACTGAAACAGAAGCTGTTGCCCAGTGTTAAGGGCAGTTAGGTTTGATCTGCTAGATGAAAATTGGACAACCTGCAATCTTACGTAAATGATGGCCATTGCCCCTTCAAGTAGAGTTTACAAAATTAGTGAGGACGTGCTTCAAATCTGTTGCACGTGAAAAAGTGAAGGTATGATGATCGTGAGAGTACTGGTGGCTTGGGTAGTCTTCCTCAAGCTACACGGCAAGTCTGTATTAAATATTAAAAAACCCACAATATTTTACTGTATCAGCTATAGCTGTTCCTGTAGTAGTGAACAAGTTGCTTTAAGAACACATCAGAACATTTCTATTCCTAGACATTTAATGTAACCTCCCATAGCTTGCTTGGTAAAATATTTTTGTACTGCTTTCACTCTTCACCGCACGCATCAAAAGATAAACTGAAAAATTACTTCATCCTCATTTTTCAGGTTAAGCTAGTGACCTTGGTTCATCACATGGGTGGAATTATTCGAAGGGACTTCAGCTCAAAAGTTACACATCTGGTGGCTAACTCAACACATGGGGACAAATTCAGAGTATGTAAGCTTGAGTTGGTACTTCATGGAAACTTTCAGAATTTAGCTCTTGTAGACTAAGTCTATTATACTTCAGCTGTTAAGTTAGGATTTTTTTCTGTACTAACAACAGTGACTTGTAATGGTGAGTTCATCTTGATCTAGTGCTGAGCTTTGGTGTCTTTTTGATCTAAATAATACAAATTGCCTGAATGCAGAGATTGTGAAAGGACAAGAGTAGTTAAATAAAAAGAACAAAAACATTTAGATACTTAAGTACTGATATTATCTGTACCTAAGACATTGATGTCTTAGGTAATGACAACATCAGTACATTTTAGACATTGATGGACATGCATTCATCAATGAAAAAAAAGTCTGTAGCAACATGCCTGCTTTTTTTGTCAGTCCAAAAGAGGTAACTTAAAACTTTAGTATTCAATGTGCATCTTCTTTTAAAAATTATTAATTTGTTATGTATAAATGTTCAAATTTTGATTTATGTGTAAATGTGAATGTTTTCTAACATCCTGAAGGGTTCCCTTTTGGTGTTATGTATGTCCAGTTGGCTAGTAGATACAGATCTGTAGGTTTTTGTACCATGGTATATGACATAGCAGTGGCTCTGTCTCTGGACTCTTCCTTGCTTGAATTGCTAGTAGGCTGTTGATTTTTTCTCTTTTTCCTAATCTGTCTTGTCTTCCAGTTGGAAGAGAAGACCTCCTTTCTAACTGTTGGAACATTCCTTTCTGCCAACTCAAAGGGAAGAAGTAGGAAAACTTTACAATCTCTCGCAAGCAGTCTGGGAAGTTAACTTTGGAATAGTCACTTTCTCTTTGGTAAAACCAGGCTGGGCTTTTTGTCTTCACACAAAGAATAAGAAGCAGAAAAAACCACACCATTTTCCACTGGAACAGCAGAGATTTGGGGTTGTGTTTTTGAGTGATGAAGGGTACCAGACTAATAAAATCACACTTCTAAGTGTCAAAATAGCTATTAGTCTGATCTAGTCACTGAAGAATTAATCTGTTCAAACTTGTTGGAGTTAGTCTTTACAGAACGATATCCAACTATGTTCACTTTTTGCATCATCTGCTTTGAAAAGTAAAAGTGAGGTTATGGTATTTTTCTTGGCATGGGAGAGATTTAAATGGCAGTACTTGGTACAATGTGTGCTTTTCCTTTTTGTAGATTGCTGTAAGTCTTGGTACGCCTATCGTGAAAGCTGAGTGGATTTATAAGGCTTGGGAGAGAAGGAATGAAATGTAGGTGTTTATTTTCCTTCAGCCTTAACCTTCATCCTGTTCATCTGTACTGCTTTGAGCTGTTTACATTGTGACGTAGCACTGATTTAGTGACCTTTTGTATCCTTTTTTTTTTTTCTTCCAGCAATTTCTGTGCAGCTGATGATGACTTTAGAAATCAGTTCAAGGTTCCTCCCTTCCAGGATTGCGTCCTAAGTTTCCTTGGATTCTCTGATGATGAGAAAGCTAACATGGAAGAAATGACAGAAATGCAAGGTTATTGTTTGTGAGAGTTGACCTGTGGAGAGAATGGGGTTTATTGCTAATATTTTGCAGAAGCTGAAGTGCTGGATTATGAATTCTGAAGTGTTAATGAGGACTCTTAAACTTGGATAAGTTGATTTAAATTATTAGGTCTTGGTGTATGCATAAGTTATGATAGCTGTTGAAGACTTCAGACTTCCTAGGCTAATCGAAGCTAGACAAAAGTAGTAATTATAGGATAATTGAAGATATGCTGGAGAACTTGCTACCTAATGTGTATATTTTGCTTCAGTTTTCATTACCAGTTTTGTGGTACGCGTTTTTGTAGATGCTTTGTGTAAACTATTTAATGTTTACAACTTTGATATGAATCATTACTGGTAAGACACTTGGAATTGCTCCATTTTTCGGTCATGTAGTGCAATATTAATCATCATGTTGCTACTTATAAGATTGTGACATGCACAGGTTCTAGCTTGTGGATGTCTTCAGGGTGAGTATTTCTGGCTTGCTCTTCCAAGAAAGAAGAAGAGCTTTCCAGAAGAGTATTTGATTTATAGCCAGAGAGGGTTTTTTTACCCTCTGAACTCCATGTGCTCCATTGTCTTTTCAATGTGTGCTTTACTACTTCATGCTATGTTCTAGTTCCTAAAAGCTGCCCACTGCTGATAATATTTGAGGTGTTGTGAGCCCAGCAACTCAGAGCTCACCGAAGAGTTCATCTGTTTGGCTCTTCTCTCATTAATGATGGGTGCCACAGAGCTATCAAATGAGCTTCTAATTTCTAACAACAATATTCTTCAATCTTTCTAACCTGCTTTTTTTTTTTTTTATCTAGGAGGACATTATTTACCAGTTGGTGATGAAAGGTGTACGCACTTAGTGGTTGAAGAAAACACAGTAAAAGATGTTCCATTTGAACCTTTAAAAAAGCTCTATGTTGTGAAGCAAGAGGTTAGTGCTGACAAATTCTTGAAAGAATATTGCAATATAATACTTGGTATGTGAGATACATTTTTTCAGAATAAGCTACATGCTTGCATTTAGTATACAAACTGCCTTACTATTTGTGTAACTTTGAATATTTTTAGATTTGAGTGAAGGCCTGGAATGTGTTATTAACTATGCAATTTCTTTTTGTCTGCAGTGGTTCTGGGGAAGCATTCAGATGGATGCCAGAGCTGGAGAGTCGATGTATTTATTTGAGAAGGTGTGTTGAACTCTGTTACGTAACACGCAGCACATTCGGTTGTAAAATTAATGTGCACAACAGTATGTGTGGGGCTAGAAAGAAAATCTTTTAAAGCAGCATTTAAGTTCCAGATATTCCAGTATAAATTTTATACTTAAAATATATTAATTTGGGAAACCCTTTTTCTGCTTCCCAAAGGTTTGAACCTATTTTTAGTCAAAATACTAGTGTGGTTTGGTTTTAAAGAAAACAAAACCAAAATTTGCCTGTTTTTCCTTCAGCTTCCCTAATAAGAATTGTGTTGTGTGCTGACCTCTACAATTAACATCCCTTTGCACTGAGCTGAGCTGGACATAGCAGGTTAGAACACTCAGCTGAACTTTGTTTTACTGCAGCCAGAGAGTCCTGGCCTGAAGAAGTCCGTGTCGCTGCTTTCTCTGAATACTCCGAATAGCAATCGCAAGAGGCGCCGCTTGAAAGAGACCCTCGCCCAGCTGACCAGGGAGACGGACATGTCGCCATTCCCCCCTCGGAAACGCCCGTCAGCTGAACATTCCCTTTCCATTGGGTCCTTGCTGGATATTTCTAACACTCCAGAGACAAATGCTACCAGTGGAGGTAGAGCTAAAAACTTGCTTCAGACGTGCTTGTGCTGTTTAAGAGCTCTCTGCATATAAGTGGTAACAGTAGCGGTGGGGAAGATGTAAAGGTTTTGCTGCAGACTTCCTAAGTAATTCCAGGCTTTTGCCTTTTTGAAGTGTGCAGAAAGCAGAATTGAACAATTCAGACACAGGCAGAGGCCAGGCTGCCTCTTGTTGCAACAAGCATGTTCATAACCAAAGGAAAACAAGGGGAGTAGATAAATGAGGTACAGTACAGTGTTACTCAAAAATGCTTCAAATACTTCATGAAAATCTACAGCAAATAAACAACAAAGTTAAGAGTAAATCACCTAAAAACCTCTGTGGTACGATGCTTGGAGAAAGGAAGATGAAGTTTCTTTTCTAAAGGAGTTAAAGGGAAAAATTTCTCCAAAACCTTCTCCTAGGTCTTTGAAATATTCTGTTGAGGTAACACTATTAGTGCCAGCAAACTGTCATGTCTGAAACTTTGCAAAAATAGAGATCACCAACTGGTTTTGATGGATTAATTGGCAAAGAGTTTTCAATATCTATGCACGTAGCTCTTGTATAAGAGAGAAAATAGCACGATTTTGGGTTAGTCAAAAGTTAATACCTGAAGTTTTAAAGGAAAAAAAAAACCAAACAAAAAAAAAAAAGACCCAGTTCCATTCCATAGAGGAGGTATGTGGAGTTTATACTTCTCTAAAAAGGCACCTGTATACAAGTCAAATAGGAAATCTCTGAGGCACAACCTGTAAATGATAACTCAGAAGGAACACAGGAAAGAGCACCTTTGTTAGCTCATGCTAGTGCTCCTGTAGCCCCTAATATGGAATTTTCTTCTAATCCAACATTAGCAGACAGTTTCAGGAAAAGTGCTATTTTGAAAACAAGGTAAAGTACTTCTAGTGACTGATAGTCATGAACTTTGACAAAAGAGTAAGTGAGTACAGGTCTCTGAGCTCCGATACATGAGCAAGTATTTAAAACTAATGGACTGTTCCAGGTCTGCTTTAGCTTTATGAGAAATTACTTTCTTGTATTCCACCCCCCTGCAATAAGATGAAATATAAGTGTTGCATGGAAGGACTGATTTTAATAAATGGTTTTGAGCTATGTACCTAATGCAAGGATGGTAGGAAGATGAAAGATAATTTTCTACATGGCAAATTGAAAGTAGAAAAGTATTTTTGTACGTAATGTATTTATTAAAAACATTCAGCACTAATCCTCACTTCCTGCTAAATGTAATAATGCTAAGTCATTGCCCTGCCCATAAATGGCTTACTAGTTTCAGATGGATTTTGAGGAATAAAATATTGTTCTATAATAATTAGGCTGTAATAAAGCCATTTTCTACAAAAAGCTGTGCTAACTATAGAATAACTTAGAGAATAACCTTTTCTTTAAAAAAAGGTGATCTTCCCTTTAAAATTCTGAAGTTTCTTTTCCCTGCCTTTGAGGGTGAGCTTTTTTTAGGGACTGTATTGTAATAAAGCTCTATTTTTCTTTTGGGAATACCTCCATCAGAAACACCTAAATCCTGTGCAAGGCCTTCCAAAAATTCAACTCCCCTTCCAGTAAAGCAGTCTGCAAGATGGCAGGTTGCGAAGGAATTGTATCAAACGGAAAGTAACTACGTTGATATCCTAACAACAATCATTCAGGTAAGCTGTTTTTTTTAAAGCAAATACAGGTCAACTGTAGTAAGATGTCTAGTGATTATGTCAGTTATTTTCAACCTGTAATCTGTAGGCTTTTGAGGGCTTGTGTACATCAAAGGTTTGTAAAAACATGACAGCCTCATAATTTCATTAACATAGGAAAATGTTTAGTATCTGTTAATAATAAAAGCTGGAAAATACTCTTTCTAATCTGGGATATGCAGTGGAATGTGTATGGAAATTCCAAGCTTCAGGAAAATAGGATCTGCATGACTCAGGTTTTTAAGCTATTGGTGAATAGAGAGATGGCTGGGGAAAACTTTTCTTTTATTCCCGGAAGAGCAGAGTAGCAAATAGCTTGACAGGAAGAGCTTAATTTCTAGAAAGGCTGCTTCTTTTGTAGTCATTGCTTACTTAAAGAATGAGCTAAAGTGTGTGTGTGTGTGTGTGTGTGTGTAAGAAGAAACATAGATGAAAGTGGGTTCTGCTGTAGTCTGTGTCAAACCCCATGTTTGTGTCTTGAAACCACTCCTCCATAACCCAGCCTTGCGAAATGGGAGCATCTCAAGATTGTGACTGCAGCAAAGCATGATCTAGAAGGAAACACTGTTGCTTTCATAACTAATTCTAACATGCTGTGTGGCAGTTGGGAGGGCATTAACTTATTTGTCCTATTCCTCAGTTATTTCAAGTTCCACTGGAGAAAGAAGGACAGCTTGGGGGACCGATCCTTGCGCAGGAAGAGATTAAGACCATATTTGGCAGCATTCCGGATATTCTTGATGTACATACTAAAATCAAGGCAAGCAACAACTTATCCTCTGCAGAGGAAGCTTTGATATAAACTTTGAATCTTTTCTGCATGCTTTAAGTTGTCTGCTGGATAGGTGTAGGTTCATCCTGGTGCTGTTACGTACTGTTCAACCTGTGGAATTATGTGGAGATGCAAAGTATGCTTTGAGATTTAACACTTGTTTATCAATATCTGAAGTCTGAGTATCGTGCATGTAATCAGTATGACCATTCCTGAGCTGGCTTCCCCTTTTCCCATTTTTAATACCTCTTCCTGTAGGAGGTTTTTCTATAAGTGATCCCAGACTGGTCAGCAGGGCCAGAGGTATCAAATGGCAGTCTAACCTGCACAAGTGATTATAACATACATGCTTCTATTAAAGCAGTAAGCAAGGACACTTGGAAAGATAGCTAAAGCTATGGAATTAAAAAAGCCACAAAAAAAAAAAAAAAAACAAAACCAAACCAAAAAACTTTCATGTTTTCCTGGGCTTTAAACATGTTCATGTAAGGAGACTTACTTGGTAGGAAAAACCTAATCCCTCCTTACCAGCTTTGAAACAACTGTGAGAAACTACCAGCTATAAAACTGGCTCACATTTCAGCCTCTGAAGCAGTTGACCTGCTACTGGGAGCTAATAAAAGTTGATTAGAATTCCCTATGAGATTATTTTCTTAAGGTTTTATTTTATTTTTTGATCTGGATTGCAAGAGCTCTCTGAAGCCATCTCTGGGTCTCACAGTAGACTGTGATGCAAGACTTTCTCAAATACAAAGTCATAAAATCTCCTTCAAATAGTAGCATATGTTTGTTCCTGCCTGCATTTCACAGCAGGCTTTTAAAATAGAGGGACTTGCAGAGTGCCACTAGCTCAGTAGTTTTGTTATTGTTGTTGCTTGTTTTGTTTTGTTTTTCCCAACCATTGGGATCCAGTCTAGTTAATCATGACAGCTATTGACATGTGCCCACTGGGACAGATAAAAGGAGGGCTAAGAAGGATTCACTAGTACTATGCAGTGTAGACAAAATTGCCTAGATGTAGTGGTTGTTTTCCTTCATCTTTTGTGTCATAAGAGAAGTGGCAGCAACAAACAACTATTAATTATAGAATCACTTTGGTTGGAAAAGACCTTTAAGATCGTTGAGTCCAACTGTTAACCTAACAGTGCCAAGCCCACCACTAAACGTCCCTAAGCACTATGTCTGTGTCTTTTAAATACCTCCAGGGATGGTGACTCCACCATTTCCCTGGGCAGCCTGTTGTAGTGCTTTACAACCCTTTTGGTGAAGAAATTCTTCCTATTATGCAATCTAAACCTTCCCTGGTGCAACTTGAGGCCATTTATTTTTGTCCAATTACTTGCTACTTGGGAGAAGAGGCTGACCACCACCTCTCTACAGCCTCCTTTCAGGGAGCTGTTGAGAGCAAGAAGGTCTCCCCTCAGCCTCCTTTTCTCCAGGCTAAACAACCCTGGTTCCTTCATCCTTTTCACTTAAGGTGAATCCTGAACCTTCAGCTGTGCCTTTAGCTGATAGTGAATAAGCTTGATCCTTATCAAACTGATAGAGACTTAACAGCTTGGTCTCACTTTCCTTGACACCCTGGTGCAGCAAGTGAGGGAAGTCTATGCTAGTTCTACTTTAGTCTTATCATACGTACTATATTAGTTGTACATTCTTAATTAGAATTGGTTCAACTGTCTATTGTGTACACTTTCTAATAATCTTTTTGAGTATGTTTTGTACTGTGTAGGACACAACAGTGTCATCTTGTTCCAGAGTTGGCTGGAGCTGATACCCACTGCTAGGCTCTGCTTGCATCAATTCAAATCAGTATATTCAGTAAGCCAGAGATCTCTTGCATTCAGCCCTCAGCAGACTGAAGGGGCTTTAATGTGAAATTGTACAGCGTTTAGGATTGCCTGTCTTGTCAGCATGGAAACACAGAGCTAATTATATCTGTTTTGCAGATTGCTGATCCTATCTTACAGCTTTCATTCTCATCTTATTTAATTCTTCTCCCAACCCTGTATGTATTCTAGGAAGACCTGGAAGATCTTATGATGAATTGGACTGAAAGCAAAAGTATTGGTGATATCATTCTTAAATACGTATGTTTCTGTTTCATTTTTATGCATTAGAGCTATTATGAGCTATTGTCTTGCCTTACAAATAATCCATTGGTAGGAGTCAGCAAACACAAGCAAAGCACTAATAAATAAGGAAGCATTAAATTGTATCATTGTGCTTTCTGTCTAAATTTCTTAGGTCAGTTAGAAGATACACTTTGTGTAGGTAATCCTCCATGACAAAGTGTATGTGGCTGACCACTTGTATGAGGGGATAAAACTCCAAACAGATATGGTTGGAGAACTGTCGTTTGCAGCACTACACGTGTTTCTTACATAAGCATTAGAAGGGGCTCTTGCTGTAACCTTAGCTATCTGCTGCCTCTGATCAATACTAAAGAACTGCTTACAGAAGCTTCTTGTGCTTTTTCTTTCAAGACTTGAAATGTTTAAAAGGATATGGGCTCCCTGTTATCCCAAGTATAGGATGTGCAGAACAGGGAAGCTGGGCCTGGGACTGCAATGCATTTTAACATAAATAGTCTGCTAAGTACGTTGTGCTTTTGCTGACCTGACCATTTTTGGGGAAAATCGTCTTTGGCAATCCAAAATTTTCAGCTGAAGGTATTGCTTCTGGTGGTTTAGTGTCTTTTAAAGGTGATTGCAGTAACTGGAGAAAAGACCTGAAATTTCTAGAATTCTCACTAAAAGGATCTTGCTAGGTGAGAATCTGTCATCTACTTGAGCTCCTGAGCAGTCTCTAAGCTTGTCACACTTGCTTGATGTTTCTGAGAGCAGTCTGCATTTAATCAGCAGTGCTGAATCTTGGGCATCTGGCATGCAAAAATGTCTTAACTTGTTCTGTGAGCACGCCTGGGTTTACAACACATTTTTTATTATTCTTTATTGAAATGTGCCTTTGAGCAGCTTTGTATGGCTCAGGGCGTAAGAACATATGTACAATGCTATGTAGTATGTAAAGCAGAGCCATAACAGTTGTTTCTTTCAGTCAAAAGACTTGTTGAAAACATACCCTCCGTTTGTGAATTTCTTCGAAATGAGCAAGGAGACTATTACTAGATGTGAAAAGCAGAAGCCAAGGTTTCATGCCTTTCTAAAGGTAAGTGTCTGCAGAACAGAGACCTTTACCAAGTAAACTGCCTAATGTGGTAGATAGAAGAATGTCGAATTTTGGGAGCTTCGAGGAATGTGAATATCTGGAGAGACAGAAATAGGAAAGATTTGAATTTCAATCTCTCAAGCTCCTCATAAGACTCTTTCATAAGAGATACAAGTTCTTTCTCTATTACAGTTCTTTCAAGGTAATTTGCTTATATGCATTTGTTGCTGGAAAAAGTGCATACTGATTCCTTTCTCCCAAATACATGTCTTCTCTCCTCTGTAAGGATAGCTATAGCTGCTGCTTGCTATTGGTCCCTCTCCATGTGTTTGAAAGACTTGTATTTCTGAAATAGCTTTTAACTTGCTTTTGATGGCTGTGAAGTCCCAGGGAGGTAGAAGCTCTCAACATTCTTGTGACTAATGAATATTAGCATAACAGTGGAGATCTAACAAGAAGATGATCTTCAAAGAAAGAGTTATCAGGAGATGAATCTTAAGACTCTTAAGATTTAACTTGTCTTCTGTATCCAACAAGTAGCTCTCAAATAGCAGAGTAATAAAACTGACAGATTTCAGTTCATGTTTTCTGAGGTACCTGTCATTGTATCCGAGTATTGACATCAAAAAGGTGGGGAGATGAATAAGAGAACAGGCCATCTCCTGTCCCACTCTGCATTAGCATCCTAAAGGAGGATTGAGGAGTTGATAATATGGACAATTTAAAACTAAGCATTCTGAGAGCTTAACTCTTGTGATAAATACTGCACAGGTTTGAATGCAATGTGTTTTTAACATGAGCTGTTAACGACTGAATATCTGTGCCAAATAATTTTCAAAGTTGTACTGCAGGGCTAGTGTGAAGGAAGACAATGTTTCTCCTCCTTTGTGATTTTTGGGAGACGGGAGTGGGGAAAGCAAGGATTATTTTCTTTCTCCCCTTTGTTTTCCCCAGATAAACCAAGCTAAACCTGAATGTGGCCGCCAGAGCCTAGCTGAACTCCTCATTCGTCCTGTTCAAAGGCTGCCCAGTGTTGCTCTACTACTAAATGGTAATCCAGCCATAGGGTGGCTTTATTTGTTCCTGGAGGTGTTAAAACCAAGATAATGTCTGATTTTTGTCACAGCAACAGCTTTTGTCATATATAACAAGCATAATTCTAGGTGTTAATCATGCTTAGTAGCATGGTCAGCAAGAACAATTACTGAAACAAGCACACGTTTGGTTAAATATCACTTGTTCATATATTTGTCTGCAGGATACAGGTAGAAGCAAAGTTTGCTCTGGCAACAGTTTTGTGTCCTCAAATACAAATATAATTGAGATTCAAATACAGCTAGCATAAACTAAAGTGTAATTCATATTGACAAGGCTTACAGCTTCCTGTGTTCCACCTGGTATCAACCACTTGCTGTAATACTGGTAACATCAATTAAGGAAAAGAAAAACTTCGCACCACCAGCCTTTGCTTCAGATGAAAAAAGACTTCTAAGTTTGTCTGTGCACTTCAACAAAGTCAGAACATGTTCTTGTTGGTTTTGGAATAGTTTGAGTGTTAGTTTTTTATTGTAGGTGGGTTTTTTCTTAATGAGATGGTTGGACAGTTGCTGCTCAGCCCACCTCTGAGCTTAATCAAGTCTCTTTGGACTCCAGGATAGCTGTGACTATCAGGTGTCTTATCTGACTTAAACTTAGGACTTCAGTTTTTCATATTCTTTCGCAGGCACTTGTAATATGTGAGAGCTTAATTATTTTTTTTAATTGTAGATATTAAGAAGCATACAGCAGAAGAGAACCCAGATAAAATAACTCTAGAGAGAGCAATTGAATCATTAAAGGAAGTGATGACGTAAGTGATGCTTGCTCCATGAAACCTACTGTTATACATTTAGATCTCTCAGTTGGTCTTAGTGTAGCGTTGCCATGACTTCAGTCTCCATGTAAGTACACAGAACTGTATGAGTTCTTCAGCCTCTCTTTGGCCACTATTGTCACTTTGGCATTCTGTGCCAGAGCTCTTGAAGGAGTCTGTGGTGCTCTTACCCAGCACTTCGATCTGAACCTCTGCTGATCCCTGCTTCAGCATGAAGCTGAACCTCCCGAGTCCTCTGTGTTCCAACTCTTATTTCTGTTGGTTTCCTTCAGAATAGAGTTGTGTTTTGTCTTTAAGTCTTCCATGCATATATCCTCTGAAAGGACATGCTGTTGGTAGAAAATCAGTTTCTCTTCTGGTCCTGTATTATCCATTCTTGGCATCATTCCAGGCGTTAATTAGCTGAAAGCTGAATCTGTTTAGGTTGTAAGTCTCACCTCTTTTGAAGTGTATTCTATGTCCCCAGCAATAAGGCCACCTGTACTAATTGGGCAAATGTTTGTCTGATTTTTAACAAAAACTTTTCAATTGTAATTATTCGTGCCTCTACTTCTTGGTGAGCTGCAGTCCTGACTTGGGAGGATAAAATGCAGAAATTTACAATGCAGTGAAGAACTGCACTGGGTTGTTCTCTAGCTGAAAATATTATGGGGCAGGGGAGGGGAATTATCTATCAACTGAATGATGTATCAACTCCTGATAACACAACAAGAATATTTGTTCTAGGTCTGAAGTTTTCTATATGCTTAACATATGGTGTCTGGATACATCAATGAACAAGTGTGGTTAATTTTTTAAAAAGTTATTTTTTCAGTGCTAGTATGTAAACTGTATCTCCTGAATGTTTAGCTTCATTATTTTTGTATGTCTTAAAATGCAGTGCCTTTTGTTTACTGTTGCTTGATATTGAAGATAAATCATGTTTTCCTCCAGACATATTAATGAAGACAAAAGAAAAACAGAGGCACAAAAACAGTTCTTTGACGTTGTCTATGAAGTTGATGGATGTCCAGTAAGTAATTTCTCTGAAGCTGCAGACCTGTAAAATGACTGTGCACTAGTTTGCTCCCTTTGCAAAAGTGAGGTAGAAATGCAGTGGTGCTGATTTAAACAGCTTTCCAGTGTTAAGTTGTAAGCAAGCAGTAATCCAGCCCTTGAACTAAATGCTTAAGGAGCTTTTTGTTTCTATCCTTCAGGCCAATCTCTTGTCCTCTCACCGAAGCTTAGTTCAGCGCTTGGAAACCGTAGCACTTGGTGATGACCTCTGTGACAGGGGTGAACAGGTCACACTCT